ACACAGGCAGGATACAGCAAATGAGAGCACACACCAACAGAAGAGTCTTTTCTTTTTTAGAATATTTTTTAAGAATAATATTAAAATAATATTAAAAAATAATATTAAAATAATATTAAAAAATAATATTAAAATAATATTAAAAAATAATATTAAAAATATTTTAAAATGGAAAATTAACCAAAAAATGGCCCAAATGTGGACCAAACACAGGCAAGAGACAGCAAATGAAGCAAGCAGCACTCACAGCAGCAAGGAATGAATCCAATCCCAGTTGCTAGCAGCCATTGCCAAGCCAACCCAATGCAAACTCCCTCGCCCTCCAGCAAGCTACGGGCCGCGCGGAGCCGCTTTGAAAGGGCTCGCCGGCCAATCAAAAAGAGACAGCCACGGACCCATGGTGCACTGCTTGGGAGCGCCGGATTGGCTCCCATGCACCAGCACTCCAGCAGCCTCCACCCCATTAACGAAACGAGCGGAGGCTCGTAAATACTATGGGGGCTGCTGGTTCGATATTTATAAACCCTTCCGGGTTTGGAGATTTGTTTCAATATCGCTTCGGAAATGGTAAAATTAACGAATTATTAACGAATTAACGAATTAACGAACCAAATCGCACAGGCCTAGTATGTATGTATGTATGTATGTATGTATATATATATATATATATATATATATATATATATATATATATATCTATTCACACACACACACAGAGTCATAATTATCAGCAGCATTCTCTCCATGGTGACATGAGGTCCATCTACACCAGTCTTTCCAACCTTATTTTTGACCAGGAACCACTTTGACCAGGAACCACTCTCCAATATTAGTACCAAAAGGGTTACGATTCAGTTTTTGGTCAGCTTAAGATTCAGTTTGGTTATTTGGGGTACTGACTCAGAAAACTGCATTGGATAGACCACATCAGCTGTAGTTTCTGACACAAAACATATGCCAGTAGTTGCTATCAGCTTGCCCACAGAAAACAATATATAATAATCTAGAGCTGATATGGTAATATTAATCTTTTGTGGGCAGCCAACCTCTCCTCTTCCAAAATCCCTGTTGCCTCGACACTATAAGAGAGTTTCACGAGACTAGTCGCTCTCTTTGCTACGTGTTTTCAAAGTAACTGTGTGGTAATGGTGAGGCTGCAGATGATATTTTTGTTCTTGTGGACCACTGCTGGTTCTTGCGGACCATTATAGAATTAATGCAATTTGACTTTGTTTGAACTGCCATGGGGGTTCTAATCTTGCAAGGTCATTAGCTTACCAAACTACAAATCCCATGATTCCATCCCATTGAGTCATGGCAGTTCAAGTTGTGTCGAGCTGCATTAATTCTGTAGTGTAGATGTACCCCAGTATCTTTTTAAGCAGTTATTGTTATTAGAGCTGTGGTTTTCAGGATCTGGATTCAGATTCTGATGTTTTCTTGCTTATTAGAATATGTCCCAAAAGATGACAACAGAAACATGGATTGGGGAAGAAAGAAAAAAAAGGAGACGTTGAAACAGTACTGGTTTCTCTGGCTGATGGATGAGTCCAATTTAGGCTCCTGATTAGCATACTAAGTGGTCCTCTGGTTGATAGCAGAGCCAGAGATAGCTTACCTTTCAGCTTTTGCAATCCCAGAGTTGATAAATGTATCCGGTACAGGATTACTTGGAGCAAAGTGTAATGCTATTGGGAAAGGTGGCCTCTCTGTCTGTCTGCCTCTTGAAATTTGCTCCAAAATGTGACAAGGGTGGTTTTAATTTGGAAACTGTTGGAAGATCTAGACTTAAGTGGAACTCCCTCCTGAGTGAAATTAGATCTGCTGCATCCCTCTGCATCCCTCTTGACCTTCCGGAAACAAGTCGAATCTTGGCTATGGGATCAGGTCTTTGGAGAATAGGCTGACCTACTGACGTGTTGACTTATTTAGAACTGATGGACTGGATAATGATTTAAATCGTTGACCACTGACTATTTGTTGTCTATTTTTATATTGTTTATACAATTTTATATTATTTATACTGTTTTATATTGTTGTTATTACATTACTGTTAATTGTATATTTATGTTTTGATGTGGGCACCATGGGGTGCCACTTTGTTAGCTGTCCTGAGTCTCTCTGTGGAGGTTGAGAAAGGATAGGATATAAAAGCCCTAAATAAAGAAATAATAATAAATAAATGTATTGGCCAAATTTGGAAAAGTTAGTTTGTATACTTCAAGTCCCCTGAAACCCCCAGCCAACATGGCCATTGGCATTGCTAATTGGGCATTTCTGGGAGTTGCACTCTTAAGAAGTAAATTTTCAAGCCCTGAAACGCAACGCCTGAAAATACGTGATATCTATTCTAACTTGCACTCCTTAGTGTTATATTGTTGTGTTCCTTCAAATTGTTTCTGACTTAGGGCAACCATAAGATGAACATACAACAGGGTTTTCATGGCAAGGCTTGTTCAAAACGGGATTTTTTTCTCCTCCTTCTGAGGCTGGGAAACTGTGACTTGCCCAAGGTCACCCAGTTGGTTTCCATGACCAAGCAGGGATTTGAACTGTGGTCTCCAGAGGCCTTTCCAGTGTTCAAGCTACTTTGCCATGCTGGCTCTCCCTTGTGGTTACATTGCACTAACTTTATAACAGAGCTGAATTACATGTGGAAGTATATTGTTTTTATGGCCAAATAGATTTCTTGCCCTAAGGCTACTGTCTGGAGAAGAGAGAACTCCCAAGGAACACAGAGGCTGTCCATTATTCTCATACAGGGATTAAACTATAAAGGGCCTTTCTTTTCTCCCCTTCTCTCTTGCTGGAATTTTAAAGTCACTTTTCTCATGCCTTGGAACAATGTGATCCTGAATTTAAAAGCATTCAAAATAAAGCATAATCTGTTTAGGAACATACATAAACATTCGACAGTTTAAATAGTAATCCAATTCTAAATATTACAGGCATTCCCCTAGTTACAAACATCTGACTTACAAATGGTTCCTTGTTAAGAACTGGGGGAAGACAATGAGAAGTGAGAGAAATCTACCCCTTGGGAGTGAAATCCACCCCTGAAAGATTTATCATGTGGAAAAGGTGTCTCCGCTGAAGCTCTATCACCAATCCTTGTTTCCACAACAAGCTACATTTTTCAAAATCCAGTGATCACAGGGACAGAACGTGAAGTGTGTAATCTTCTGAACTGGGGCAGAGACCGCAAAACAAACATTGCATAGTATTAATCCTTCCCTATGCCACCCAAATCCTATATATACAGAACATATACAGAACCTGTCTACCTGTCTACCTATCTATAAATGCTCTGTGCATAATGAGTACCTTAAAAACAAAAGAACCAATGAATGAAATCACACCAAATTTGGCAACAAAATGTCTCACAACACAAGGAGTGACCATCACTCAAAAAATTACGATTTTGTCATTTGGGAGTTGTAGTTGATGGGATTTATCGTTCACCTATAATCTGAACTCCACCAACAATGGAATTGAACCAAACTTGGTACACAGAACTCCTATGACCAACAAAAAATACTGAAAGGGTTTGATGAGCATTGACCTTGAGTTTTGGAATTGTAGTTCACCTCCATCCAGAGAGCACTGTGGACTCAAACAATGATGGATCTGGACCAAACTTGGCAGGAATACTCAATATGCCCAAATGTGAACACAGATGGAGTTTGGGGGAAATAGACCTTGACATTTAGGAGTTGTAGTTACTAGGATGTATAGTTCGCCTACAATAGAGCATTCTGAACCCCACCAACAATGGAATTGGGCCAAACATCTCACACAGAACCCCCATGACCAACAGAAAATACTGTGTTTTCTGGTGGTCTTGGGTGACCCTTCTGACAACCACCTGGTGACCCCCTCCCCAGGTCTTGACTTTCCAGGTTCAGAAATGCTGCCTTAAGGCCATCCAGTCCCACTCCCTTCACCAGGGCAAGAAAACATAATCAAAGCCCTCCTGACAAAGAGCCATCCAGCTATTCACACACACACACACATATGTATATGACAGATGCAGTATCAAAGATTTGAAAGGGACCCCTAAAGAAGGACAATGATATGTTGCATGTTCCAGAGTAGGCAAACCAGACAATCTCCACATCAACACTGGCAAAGAAACAGCAAGAAATACTGTTTACCTACAAGCATAAAGACATTACATATATTAGAAACCAACACTTTCTTATTACTTTATTTTCCAGATCACCAGACTGGGCCACAGCAACGCGTGGCAGAGGACCGCTAGTATATATATAGAGAGAGAGGGAGAGAGGGAGAGGGAGATTGGGGGGGGGGGAGCTGTAGTTTTCTGCCTTGATATTCTGGGTCATATGGCTGTGTGGAAGGGCCCTGAGTGGGAAAAGGAGGAATATGTTTAGTGGAGGATTCTAAGGGCCCTTTCACATAGCCCTGTATCCCAGAATATCAAGGCAGAAAAACCCACAATATCTGATTTGAACTGGGGATTTTAATGTGGGATTTTCTGCCTTGATGTTCTGGGATATAGGGCTGTGTGGAAGGGCCCTAAGTAATTGTTACCCGAACGTCTTTGTTAGCCTCAACCAAGTACCAGCAGTTGCTCCATAATGAGAAAGAACAGTTGTCCCAGGAAGTAGTATTTATTTTGACAAAAAACATGATCTGCTGTGGCATATGGCCATGCTAAAAGCTTCTTTGCCAAAGTGGATGGTTTCCCTGCTACTTGTTGCCTTGACCCAAGCCTCAAAGGTGATGTGTGTATTGCTATCCAGTGGATTATGTGTCTATTACTAACCAGTGGATTCCAAATTCAGGCCCTTCCGGTTGTCTACTTGAGTCTTCCTGACATCAAGGTAAAGGTAGGAACAGTGCTGTTACAGCAAATGGGCTATTTTGTCCCACGGTCCATTAAGCCTTTATTTTTGGTGGATTTTTTTTACAGCGCTACCTAATTTAACAAGTTGGTTTTATGTCTGTCTAACACAATTTCCCTTCTGGTCTTTCAGGTGCATGCGTCTATAGAGGCTCATCTTTTGAGGTAGGTCAGATTTCACATTATTTGTTACTTGCTGTGCCAGCCCTGAATTAGTTTTCATTTTATTGGGTGGATGAAGCTTTGCCCTTGAAGCAGTTTCTAGTCTCCTCGGAATGAAAATGAAGGATTTGAATCATGGAGGGTCTGGAGGGGTCTTTGCTCTCTTGCCTTTTGTGAGCTGTTCTTTTCAAAGAAGATGACAGCGGTGTCAACGAATGGCACCTGTGCCAATGTGGCTCTCAATCCATTTGGGGTTTAAGTAAGAACTTTGAAGATACTATCCAAAGGGCTAAAACCTGTTTTGCAAATAAGATTTATTTTGAACTGCTCTAAGCTGGACTTAGCTTTTGATGAATGAACAGCAATTCCAGTACCATGTTCGTCCCAGCATGTACTCGTCCTCTTGATGCACTTTTCCTTATTCCTAGTGGGTAATCTAGCACCATAGCTTGTCCCTCGTGTACCTCCCATCAGATGAATTGCTCCAGTTTCCTATCCCACCCTATGTCCCCTGTTTTTATCTGTGCATCTGGCCTAGCCCATCCTGATTTACTCCTGTAATTGTTATTTCACTTTACTTAGGCGATCCCTCGTAGTCTGAGGAGGATGGTCCTCCAAGTTCGGTGTCCTGGGGGTGGGTTCATAGGTGGCTGTGGAGCCTTATTCTTGACCTGCATCTTCTCCCATAGTGAGGGCATTGGTTTCCAGGTGGAAGGTGGTCTCGGTCGGGGTTGGCTTGACGCGCCTTCCTCTTGGCACGTTTCTCTCTTTCACCCTCCATTCGTGCCTCTTCAAATTCTGCAGCACTGCTGGTCACAGCTGACCTCCAGCTGGAGCGCTCAAGCTCCAGGGCTTCCCAGTTCTCAGTGTCTATGCCAGAGTTTTTAAGGTTGGCTTTGAGCCCATCTTTAAATCTCTTTTCCTGTCCACCAACATTCCGTTTTCCATTCTTGAATTTGGAGTACAGCAACTGCTTTGGGAGATGGTAGTTGGGCATCCGGACAACGTGGCTGGTCCAGCGGAGTTGATGGCAGAGGACCATTGCTTCGATGCTGGTGGTCTTTGCATCTTCCAGCCTGTCTGCCTGTCTTCCCAAGAGATTTGCAGGATTTTCCAGAGGCAGCGCTGATGGAATCGTTCCAGGAGTTACATGTGACGTCTGTTGACAGTCCACGTTTCGCAGGCATATAGCAGGGTTGGGAGGACAATAGCTTTATAGACAAGCACCTTGGTATCCCTACGGATGTCCTGGTCCTCAAACATTCTCTGCTTCATTTGGAAAAATGCTGCACTAGCAGAGCTCAGGCGGTGTTGTATTTCGGTGTCGATGTTGACTGGTGGAGAGGTGGCTGCCAAGGTAGCGGAAATGATCAACATTTTCTAATGTTACACCATTAAGCTGTATCTCTGGCATTGGAGAGGGGTTGGCTGGTGACTGCTGGACAGCACTTTGGTTTTCTCGATGTTCAATAACAGGCTGAGCTTCTTGTATGCTTCTGAAAAGGTGTTTAGAGTGGCTTGTAGATCTTCTTCTGAATGCGCACAGATGACGTCATTAGCATACTGGAGTTCTATAACAGATGTTACCTGATGTTATATCCCACTGTGTTAATTCTCCTTTATTGTTTTTATGTTATTGTCTTTTATTGTGGTACATTATTTTAATTTTAATTCTATTATTTTGCTGTATGTATTTCATTTGTTTATTGTTTTTGTCAGGCTTGGCCTCATGTTAGCCACCCCGAGTCCCTGAGTGGAGATGGTGGCAGGGTATAAATAAATTTTAATAATTATTATAATAAATAGTCAATGCTAGCCAGGTTTAACTTTGAACATTAAAGGAGATAGCCTAGGTTTTGGACTTAGTGAGGGAGAACTTTCAACTTCATGGATAGCTCCTTTGAAGTTCAGATGAAAAACCAGAGCAGGTTCACCATCCCATGGAAGTTGACACTTGTCTCTATATACTACAGTTAAGACCTCATTTGGCTAAAAGGAGGAATGAGAAGAGTGAGAGGAGGAGTTGTAATTTTTTGAAAGATACCCTTGTTCCTTCCATAACACTGGCCAACACACAATTTGGTGCCTCAGATGTTAATCCTTGTTGCTCTCTCTCCTGGATTCACCTTTGCACCTCACAATTTTCCTGTATTACTAACTTAATAGTTTATTGAAGAAAACAAATATTAACAGGCAAACAAGTAAAACAGAAAGCAATATCTCAAAAAGCTAATAAAAGGCAATAGTCCGCACAGCAGAGTTCATCAGAGTTCTGTTCAAAATTAATAAGGTATCTGGAAAATTAGGAATCGAAACATGCGCACCAATCCGTAACTTCTTTGAAAACATGAATCCATGAACATGAGTACAAAACTTTCCCAAGGAGCTTAAACATAGACTTGAACATGGAACAAGACCAAGGTGTACACGGTAACACAGTGTTGCCTGTTCTAACTCTTTTAATAAACAACACTTTAATTTAAGGACCGCAAAGCCATGAGGTCATGTCTTCGACATCTGCTCTGTTGTTTCAAGGATTTCTCAGAAGTCTCTGTGATCTCCATAATCTGGCTCCTTCCTCCAAGAGATCGACCTTCCATCTTCTACTGTGTTCAGGTGTTTTCTCAGGGGAAAGATCTCTTCCTTCTAGCTCCTTATCTTCCCTTCCCAAGGAATGATTAGGGGAAAGGGTCTCCTTATCTTCTGATGCCACAGCAGTTCCATCTCCGCTCTGCTCTGCAGCCCTTTCTCTCTCACCAGACACAAACCCATTCTCCCAGACAGAATCGTGATCCAAAATCCCCTCATTTTCCACATTGGAAAGCCCATGAGTCCTCACAATCTCTGATTGAACAATCCCTGCATCTTCAGCCTCTGACAGAACCACAACAGTCCTGTTTCTGTATTTATTTGACCTGCTGATTCAAAAAATGGCACCAATTTTTCCTTATCAGCCCTAGTTTTTGATATATAGAACATACATCTACCAGTTTCCATCTGCTCACTCATAGAAAACCACGATATACCTAGAGCTGGGGTCATCTGTCCAATGGAATTTTCTGAATTAGTGCCCCAAGTAACCTTAGAAACAAACCTAAAACTCAATACACCAAGAGAAAACATTTTTTGGTTTCACTGTGGTTTTAGCACCATGAGAGTATTAGCTGCATATATGTCACTTTACTGAAGTCTTCCTTTTATTGTATTTTTTTCTGAAGTGTTGATCTATAATGATAAAATAGTACAATGGCACACCCATATCCACAGATGATACACATTCACAGCTGATATTACTGGATCCAATTAAATTACTTTTTGTATGTATATTCTCACCATGCCATAATGTTGTGTTGCAGGAACCAACAAATTCTTAGAGAGACTATTTATAAATAAAGATTATTATTATTATTATTATTATTATTATTATTATTATTATATTATTATTATTGTAATTAGAGTTTTATTTGAGAAGAGAAAATACAATTATATAGACATATACTATACATTTCCTTCTCTTTTATTTACATTTACCCCTGTGCTCCCCTTCTCCAAAGCCATCTCTTTTCTTAAGGTCCCACCAAAAAATCAGTTCTTCATTTGGAGGTAAATTCCCATCTTCTTTTTCCAATAGTTTTTCTAGAAATTTTCTCCAGATACTTTCAAAGTCTTTTTTTTAAACATAATCCCTTCTTTACTTTTAAGTTTGATGTTAGCTTATCGTTCAGTGCCATTTTCCAGAGTTTCATTTCATTGCCCCTTTCCAATATTTTGTAATTAATAGTCTAGCTGCTGTTAATAGCATGTCTATTAATTTTCCCCCTCTTATCTTTCCCACCCTCTTTTTTAATTAAAAGTAACATTTCTACTGGATTTCTCCTAATTTTTATATCCATGATATTTTCTATTTCTGTTATAACCAATTCCCAAAAATCTTTTATGTATTTGCAGTCCCACCACATATGCATGTAGGTTCCAATTTCTTGGCATCCTCGCTAACATTTTTCATTAGTGATCTTATTTATCATGTCAAACATGTCAATTAGAATAAAAGAAAATTATTACAAACCAATTTGGAAATGGTATTTAACACCGAGAAGGTTAATTATTATTATTATTATTATTATTATTATTATTATTATTATTATTATTATTGTTACGGTTATTGTTATTATCTGTTCCAGTTGGTCAAAATGTCTCATGATGTATCCAAAGTATGATAGCTTCAGTAGCAAGTACATCAGTGGATGTACGTGTACATTAGTCAGTTCAATTGGGTAAACACTGATAGGTTACTAATTTTAATTAATTTGGAAGACAACCAGAAAATTGTCTATGGTATTTCCATATATCTTCCTTCAGCATTATAAATATCATTTTAAGCAGATGTGACTTGTTCTAAAATGTCAAAAAAACCTGCTATTAAGAGTTATGTTATTTCAACGTACACGCAGACTCGTTTATGTATAATTTATATCAAGTCATGTACAGGATACGTCTTAAGATTTGAGAAATGTTATTAAAGTTTCATTTTTCATTCAGACATATTTTTATGCTTGGTTGGAGGAGAAAGTGCAAGAAAAGGTCTTCTGGTGAGACTGCCAGAATCAGTTAATATTGCTAAAGCTCTAATTTTGTGATAGAAATGGTTGCTTGAGCGCTTTTTGGATGCTTGAGTGACTATTTTTTGTCTCTTTCTCCATACGGGTAAAAGAAGCATTAGCTGTGTTGGAAAATGTGTTTAAACTTTTGCCCTTTGAAATTGTCATGGTGGGAGAAGTTGTGCTTTAGGTGTTTGAAGACTGGGGAAAGTGTTCTTTTAATGCTTCTACTATAGAAGAGTGACAGCAAAGAGACAGAAGAAAGAGTAAATATCAGATGGCATCACAGACCTTATTAGTAGGGATGCTGAGCCAAAGCTTTCTTTTTTTTCTTCTTCAAATTTTCATTGAAGTAAGCTGGAAAAATATCTCGGAAGATTTAACTTCTCTTTGATGATAGCAGAA